TTTTGATGTTTAAAATATCGATTGAAATTTATTTCAATGAAAAAATAATAAAATTTTATTATGAAAAGATATACAAATATTTAAATCAAAAAATTCACATTACAATTCCTATGTGTTATGTATTTTGAAAAATATTTCAAGTTGAATTTAATTTAATAAATATTTTACCTCCAAAAAATTAAAAAATAATAAATTAAGTGTTTTTAAATTACTAATAGAACTAGTTATAATAGAATATATGGCTTTTAATGTCAAAATAGGGAAGCTTAATGATCTTTAGCAAGATTTTGGAAGCTAAAAATTTGTATGATTATTGGTTAACTACAATAAGATCATTGTGCGTTGGCGTTTCTGAAAACTCTGTACAATTAAATTAGATCAATACCTCATTAAAAATCTATTCAAAAGTATAATAATAATAATTAAATGTAATTCCAAAAATTTGTTAGTTTTGACAATATTACATTAAGTTAATTCAAAGACCAGATACCAACATAATTAGCGGCAAACACCTACACTCCTTTAGGTAATATGTGCAAAGTATATATTCGTATAAAAATCGGTCCAGTGAGACCTGAGAAAAAGTAGTGGCACTCACAAAAAAATCATGGTAAAATTAATACCTTTGTAGCTTCGTAGCGCATATCAATTTTCGACCTCATACAATGTACTTGAAACTGACACAAAAAAACCCTTTAAAAATTGATTATAGACATAGCGTAAATTTATAGAAATTAACAAGAAATTGGTAAAGTTTTAGTCAAATGGATTTCATCGGGTACACTATTTCAAAACAATAGAAACCCGTTTCTTTAATTACTGATTAATATATAAATTATTCAATAATTAACATTTTAGTAAAAATAACAATCAGTAAATTAGATGTAATATGGGAAATAATAGAGTTGAACATATTACACTAAAAAAGTATATAAACAAACCGNGGGAAATAATAGAGTTGAACATATTACACTAAAAAAGTATATAAACAAACCGAAAATTCTCTTACTTTTATTGAATTCAGTTCAAAATATATCCATATAACATAATTAAATTACACTATATAAGAAAAATTAATTTCAAGTATACTTGTAATTTAGAAAATTATTTCTTTATTAAAAAATAAATTTATAACAAAAATAGTATACATAACATATATGAAAAATTACTCTATAAAAACTGTTCCTTTTCCTTTAAAAAGTGCTGACTTGTGAGAATAAATAATTACTAATTAGTGACAAGATTTCAAATAGATCTTCAAATTGTTATTAGTAACATATTTAATATAAAAAAGAGCCAGTACATATTCATTCTTGAAAAACATAAGTTCATTTATCTCTCGGAAACGGATATTCTGGATGATTTTGAATGCTAAAAAATTATTTTTATTAACAAAAATTATTTTATTATACAATCATTAAAATGGGTTTGGAAATTTATCTTATCTAAGCCTCTACTTTTTACGCGTTGAGTGAATTTCATTAAATAAAATTTACAAGGCTGGATAAAACATATTTTTTAACTTGTTATATAATTTCGAATATAGAAAGATGAGTGAAAAGATAAATTGTATATATAGTCTTGAAAAAACTTGTTTTTTGTTCATAAATTGTTATGATACAAAAAAGTATCGTTTTTCGTATTTTCATAAATTTCAATATAATTTTTTTAGCTTCGATGCGAAGCAAAAATGGTATTAATTTTACTTTGATGTGTTTTGTTAATTTATTAACTTTCATGTGAAGCTGAGAAATTTTTTAAAATGCATATTGAAAGTAGAATTTTATCAACTTAACTTTTGAAAATGTTCCAGAAATACTGACATTTGCATATATCTTTTAAATTAAACCTTATGTAATGAAATTTATTTTGAAAAAAACAAATTTAACCTCTGGACTTTTATTGTTGAATTAGATTTGATATGATAAAAGTAGAAATGAATTTTTACAATTAGAATTAAAATTTATAATACGCTCAATTGTGTAGATCTTTTTAACTATGATTTTTATTTAAGTGATCTATTACGATAAAAATGCAAAAAAATATCGAGCTTTTTTGATAAATTTATTGTAAATAGTAATTATAAAAACTGCTGACAAAATAATCTTAACAATAGCTTTTTTTTCTATTTAATGATGTCTATTTCAAACTTGCAAGTTTAGCTAAAAGTTATTGTAATAAAATTATTATTTTTTTTTTATTATAAACTTTCACAGAAAAAAATGTAGGTTAAAAATGATTAATCCGCCAATTTCTTAAAATTAAACATTATCTACAGATTAGAAACCAAGCGTTTCTTATGATAGTGATTTTAAGCACTGTCAGATTACTTCTATATTGGACCCAACTATGCCACGTCCCCTATATGCCGCAACACCACTGTACTGGGCTTTATTCAATTATTTATGTGTATCTTTTAGGCATAACCAACCCATTAAAAAAATATTAATAAAATATCCATTACTTATTGAAAAACGTGAATTTCAATATACGTCCTTCTTCTCCCTGATCTTCCGCATTCAAAGCTTCCATTTCGTCATCGCTCAATTTAAAGTCAAATACCTTTTAATATTAAAATTAAATTAAATTATTCATATTATATTTGATTGGAAATTTCAAATTTGGTATTACTTGTATATTTGCAGCTAAACGTTGAGGGTTCGTACTCTTTGGTATAACTACTATGCCTTTTTGAACAATGTGACGCAACAAAATTTGTGCAGGAGTCCTATTATGTTTTTCTGCTATCTTCAGTACAGTTTCATTTTCCATAAGCTCAGGGCGCTTAAGTGTAAGTCCCATTGATTCTCGGTTAGCTCGAGTACCTAAACACGAATATGCTGTGACAGTAACATTGTTTTCTTTACAAAAAGCAATTAGTTCAGGCTGCTGTAGATATAAATGGTGTTCGATCTGAAGATTATCTGGTTTTATTCTACTGTTGTCTAAAACTCTTTTCAACTGCTTGATATTGAAGTTTGACACTCCAATAGCTTTTGCACGTCCTTTGTCTATTTGTTCTTCCATAGACTAAAATTATAAAGAAATAATTTTCAAACTTAAAATAGTTTGATATACAGAGTGGCCCATCATTCACTGACAACTTAAATAACTTTGGATCCAATTAATATTTTTAGTTGATTTTTTTTTAAATAATAGTTATACGTTAGGTTAAGATAGCGTTTTCTTCTGTCCTTTTCTCAATACGTATTCCAATGTTTAATACCGGTAAAATAATACATGAAAATTCAAATTTTCACAAACTTTAAAACTCTACAGAATATTTACTACTGAATATTAATAAGATATTTTTTTACTAAAATTTTTCTTAAATTCTACTCTACAAAATAGCTATCTTAGATTTTTTTTTTACATTTTATTTAAAATTTAAAAATAATAATTATTTTTAATAAAATGTAAAAATATTAATTATTGAGATATAGCTATAGACCAATGTATAACTATTATTTAAAAAAAAAATCAGCTAAAAATATTAACTGGATCAAAAGTTATTTAAGTTGTCAGTGAGTGGTGGGCCAC